GTGAAAAAATTGTTTGTTTGTTTTTTTTTTTGTTTTTTGTTGGTTTTTTTTTTTTGGTATTTTTTTTTTTTGTTTTTTGTTGGTTTTTTTTACTTTCTATGTATTTTTCTTATCTGATATAAAATATTTAAATCCGTGACCCGCTGGAATTTCAGGCTACATATTTATAATTAAACAAAAGAAAGCAAAATCATTAACAGATTTAGAAAAAAAATTATTTTAGAATGTCTTTCAAAATTCGTAAATGGTGAGTTCTCAAATATAATTAAGGTTCGACTAGTTTTTTGGTTTTTTTTTCATTTTATATCTCTTGATTTTCATTAAATCTTCCATGCTCTCCTTCTACGATAAATAGAAATGTGAGTGTAAGGAATTGAAAAACATTCGCAGGTACGAATTTCGTTTAGTAATGTAGTTTATTGCAAGTAGCGATGTTATGGTCCTCCAAAAAATTGTTAATCGATACTCCCTCTCAGCATCTGTCGAATTGAGATCAATAGTCAAATTCTCTAGATAGAGCCCGCGTTCCATCGTTACTTTGGACGAGCGAGGTTAGCAGAATAAATCTTCTAAAGTTGATATTCGGCGTTGTCTAATCATTAGAGTGAATTCCCGTGGCTAGTCCTTAAAATTCAAATCTCTGTGCTTAACCATTTGAGCCCTGACCAACACTTTACCGGTGGTAGAGAAAAATAACGTAATACCCAACAACTGTCTGAACAGTGGTAGAGAAAAATAATTAATGCCCAGCTACAGATTGAACGGTGGGTAAACACTTGTAACTATGTTTTTTATCTACCATGAAATATTACATAGCAATTATTTGCGAATTTTGACTCAGGAGCTCAGTTAGAAGAGTTAAAATTATTTAGGAACAAAGGGCTCAAAAGGTTAATAATCTGATGTAACCTAGGGAAGGTTACTGAATAGAAGTGAGTCAAGTGAATTCCACAATGAATCGCCAACTGCAGGACATCTACCAACCGCCCCACGCGGTCAGACGTGGCATAAGATCGAATTTAATGCTGAGTATCTGAGCCCGTAGGCGCGACCAAAAAAATTCCGTAGACCCCGTATAAAACGGCGTCGGGTAGCTGTTTCCCGAGACGATACTCTGCACTTCGACAGGGCCTCATCTGGGGATCCTCTCTGGGGATTCGGAAGCAGAGAGTTTGACCAGCACTGTTGGAGACGAAGACTAACATACAGTATTTACTATTATGTTTATATGAGTGGGGCAACACCCATTATCGTCCGTAAGTATGCTACCACACAATCACATGATGACAGTCTCGGAATCACAATACAAAATGTAATTCAAATAAAATAAATACGATTAAACAAATAATGATAGGGTTTAAATGTGGATTTTACTACAACACATCGAAGAGAGAAGAGTCTAACCATTAGCTATAAGGCGACATTATGATGATTATCACAAAGAGAGAGACAAAAGTTTGAAGACCTCAGCATCAAACGGGTAGAGACATTTCTGAGTATTGTAATAACGTACGATCTATTAATTCATACCGTATATACTTGTATATAAATCTGCTAAAGTGCGACCTCTGGATTTCTTTGTTAAAATTTTTTTTTTTTTCATATTGCTTGTGTATAATGCGACCCTAGGTTCTGAACAATACTAGTAGGCCTCACGATGACGAGACCCATAACCCATTAGGGTAGTAAGGGGTACCACATGTTTTGCCGCCTTAGTAGCAGTGGTGTTTCCTGGGCAAGATAGCCTGGTGTAGCACAAACGACTTCAGGCTGTTTTTGAATTCAGAGATTTTCCTTCTCCTATATCTCTAGAGGATCCTTCCATGGTCGCTACATTCTTAACCTGTTCCAATTAAACGTTAAACGTTATCTTCTTCATTCTGTAACATTTTAACACGAGTGGCTCCTGGGCGCACAGGGAGAACATCATTTAAAATATAACAGCAAATTGTCCAGTTCTTAGATTAAGCATTGAACCGTTGTATCTTAGAAATGATTAAAGATATCTTAGTGGAATTTCCTGAGGTTTTTATAACACTATTGGACTCTATTTGAGCAATAAGAATGTATAATTACTCTCCAACCTTAATAACGAAATCGTGATGAAATCGATCATAAACGAAAATGACATGTTCATCACTAATTAATCATAACTAAAGATCGGAAGCTCATGAAGGATTGAAATAAAATTCATATATATATATATATATATATATATATATATATTATTCGAGGATCATTTTCCAACTTAGTCAAGATGATCTTCGCCCTCCAACCTTCTAATATTCTGTCCTGGAGTAACAAAGTGCCTCAGAGTTTTTACGTATAATTTTATTTTCAAGTCTTTTTTCACTGCTCTTTGGACTGCCATAGCTGAAAATCCTATTTCACGTGACAAACGTCTTATGGGTTGAGTTGGATCTTTTCTAATTGATCTTTTTTTTTCTCTCTAAGTTGAAATGATGATCCTTCTTTATGCTGTGATCTACTGATCCAGTTTTTCTTTCTTCTGTTCCCTTTTTAAAGCTTATTCACCGTTCTCTTGACGGTTCTTAAATGGACTTTGAAGTTCGAAGCCAGAGTATCAATGTTGGTACCATTATTGAAAGCCTGAATGATCTACCATTGCTCATTTTGAAGACAGTGGGACTGACACAAAACGATTTTAACCTGTTCCCTCTCTAGCTGAGTAACTCAAGGGGGTTTTCAATGGTGTCAAGATGGTAAAAAGTCATATCTGAAAACCAGGAAAAAGAAACTCAATTAGTTTATTTATTTATTTTTTTTTTTTTAGATATTAAACATTTTTGCGGGATGGACAATTATGCTATTATTACACGACTTGGGCAATTTTGGTGTTACACTCCACCATATATATATATATATATATATATATATATATATATATATATATATATATATATATATATATATATATATATCGACCCGTTTCATCGACACGTTTCATACTCTTGCCACCTTTATCAGAGTAAAAGTGAGGATTTTATTTTGCAACAAGTATTTATAAACAAAATTAAAGATGTTGTTGGCTTTTCAAAATTTTTCTATTTAAGAGACGCTCATCAATATTCATCAGGTTAACTGAAATGTCTTGGAAAGTTTTCCTTTTATCTTTATTCATATTTTCCTTTTACACATATATTCAAAATATATCTGAAATTAAAATTTAACCAAGCACATCTAAGACAATAAAAAACAAAATAATAAGCTAAAACTAGAAGAAGGAATTTTCTCTATTGACTGTAATGATTACCACAATGAATACATAGAAGAAACATCAAAAAATTTTAATAATCTATTATATGAACATAAAAGGAATATTTTAAAAAGCAACAGTTAGTTGCTCACCGTAAAGAGACTGGCCAAACTTCGCTATAAAAAAAATGCTACTCTATTTAAAAGAGGTAACAATTCGCTAAAACAAATATGTTTACAAATCGCTTAAATCATCCACAGTAAAGTTGTGTCCAGATTCTTACAACGTTTCGCCCTTCTTGACAGATCAGTTATCACAATGTCGAATATAACAAAACAAAACATAAAAAAAATGATGGGACAAAAATAAAATGAACCGAACTGAAACTTGATTAGACTATATAAGCTATATATATATATATATATATATATATATATATAAGCATCAATCTTCAAGCATGAATTTTCTCCGAGCCGATGGCGTTTTTCGTATAGAGAAAACCGATAAAATTCCCTTCTTTCCGGGGTAAGATGCGTAAGATATCTGACTGATGTCAGATCAGTTGGGTTTCGATACCGGCTTGAAGCAATCGGACGTCTAGCCACATTGAGGAGCTGTCATACAGTGTGTCTGTGGACGACTATATATATATATATATATATATATATATATTTTTGACCAATGAAAAAAGTTTCGTTAGAACTAGTTTTGATTACGCGTTTCGCCTTACTAGGTTTCACAAGATCTCAGAACGAAAGAAAAAAATGTGTATTTGTACTTAAATAAAACTTTTTTTCCTAAGCTGGTGTTTCTCGTGACTAAAGAAGAAAGGTTAAAGAAAAAATTACTATGATTCATTATTTATGCATAGACATAAATACACACACAGGCACACACATCTCTTCCTTTTGTTTTTGCATCTGATGAAGCCTAGCATGGCGAAACCCCGCGTAATTAACGCGCTATGGTCAGTGACCAACATTATTTTATTATTCTAAGGACAAGGTTTTCAAACTCATTGACTTTGATTTTCTTTATTTTTCCATTACATCTTGGGACCATTTCTATAGTCACAGATGTCTACAACTTTCATTGTAACTCCGGTGGCTTTTTAAACAGTAAAATATTCTTTTCTTAATTTTTTAGTGAGGTGCTGGTTGACGGGGGATACATTCTCTTCATTTATTTACCTGCCTCGTCTGGTGTCTTTATTAATTCTAATTCAGTCCACATATTGCCAAGCTTACAAAAATACATCTTTTGCATCCCTTACCAATATTAACCGTCCCTATATTAAAAAAAAAGAAAACAAATGACATAAGAAAATGGTTGCTATAGAAATGTTAATGAAGGGTTTTTTTTTTAAATATCTATTGAGAGAAAAGTGAACAGGCTCGGAGACAAGAAGATGGCACCAAGCCAAACCAACCTACGGTCATGTCTCGTATACTTAAGTAGCAACTGATAGTGAATGGGTCGATCGTCACATTTTGCATTCGTCACAACGTGATAGAAAAGAAATTTAAAACCAATCTATGCTTGAAAACAGACAAGAGAGAAGCGTTAAGGTCGACATCGATATGTCTAATCCAGTGACCCCAATGTGATTCAGAAAAGTAGGCATTTAATAAACTGCAAGTTTTGCGTTTAATCAGGTATTTAGTACCGTTCATACCTTTCGCAGTGTATTCATATCACAGTTTGTTCTTTTTGTCTTTCTAAATATATATCTGACAATTACAGGTTGTTCATGTCTGTTTAGAGATCTATTTAAATATCTAAGTCCATGGATGTTTCATCTATATGTCTCACTCATATCTGTCTCAGTTTATTCATATACCAACATTTTAATATCTATCTATCTATCTATCTCTCTATCTATCTATCTATCTATCTATCTATCTATTTTTATCAGAATATTTCCAGATCTATCTATCTATCTATCTATCTATCTATCTATCTATTTATGTCTATTTTTATCAGTGTATTTCCAGATCTATCTATCTATCTATCTATCTATCTATCTATCTATCTATCTATCTTAGTATGTTCATATCTATCTATCTATCTATCTATCTATCTATCTATCTATCTATCTAATCGTCTGTTTTTATTTGAATATTTCCACATCTATCTATCTATCTATCTATCTATCTATCTATCTATCTATCTATCTATCTATTTCCGTTTTTATCTGAGTATTTTCACATCTATTTATGTTTCTTCATATCTGTTTTAGGTATTCCACATCTATCTATCTATCTATCTATCTATCTATCTATTTCTATTTTTATCAGAGTATTTCCAGATTTATCTATCTATCTATCTATCTATCTCTATCTATCTATCTATCTATGTCTGTTAATATCTCAGCATTTTCCCATCTATATATTTATGCTTGTCTCTATCACAGTACATTCACATTAACACTTCATAAAAGAAATATTACGACCCTCATCCAGCACAGTTTAGAATTACTGCCCTTCTATACAATATAATTAACAACAGAAATACTAACTGCAATGTAGTTCCGTAATTTGTTGGTGTGAGGCCGACTCTGTGAGGAGAACAAAGTTGCGTTTGGAGATCCGGATTGTACGACACGTGCCTGTCTATATGTGAAAGGGTGGATCTAGTAACAGTAATCACTTGACTCACTCAGTTTGTGAGTCAGCGATTGGACTTCATTTGATTACCAATTCGGGTTACGGTTCCGAATATGTTAACGGTGCGTGCAGGATGCTCTACAGTGCTCGATTAATTAAACATTTACGTTTTTTAGAAGCTGTTTGCATCAAGCTTCATCGACCGACTTTGTGAAAGCAAAAAGAAACCTTTCTTTGTTCTCTGTGTCTCATGGGTGGGTCGTGAGTAATTCTTTTTATATTTTATAATTCCTAGGGGCTTATTTACACTGATTCGTTTGATCTTTGTAATAATTTTATTTTAGTCGTGGCTCCTTATTTACCTTTTTCAGTTTCACCATTTTGATGATTGTCCTACCAACGAATCTTCCTGAAAAAGTGTTGTACGAAAAAGGCCCCTCGAAAAGAATCCGTACCGTCATTTGGGGGAAAATTTATCGAGTACTGTCAGTTGTAGGACCGATTATTCAGTGTCTAATCCAATGTCTGTGCTGCACAGACATCGGATTAAACACCTTAGATTAAACATCGTGGAGGCTCGTCTCGTCCGGCTCTGAGACGAACTAAAACATAAAATGGCACTCTTCGACAGGTCTTTTTCCTCCCCTTCATCTTGTCTTTCTTAGATCTATTAAAGGGTGGTTTGTTTCCTTTCAGTAGTTTATTTTCATTCCAACGATTTTTCTTCTGACGAAGCGTCGTAGGAATGGTACCTAAAGTTTCTATTTTTAATCAAGTCGATACATTTGAAGCCGACTTTTGATTAATAAAATGTTCGCTAAAATGTTCAGTTTTTAGTGCCACACCATCTAAGTCATATTCTCCGAATAAGACTTAGATGGTGTGGCACTAAAAATCTTTACACCTATTTTCGGGTCGGTATAGCCAAAATGTGGTTAATACCCTCAATAATTTGACAGGTAAATTATGGTCCCTTCGTTTCAGAATTAAATTCCTGAAATCCTGTTTTCAGAATCCTGTTATCCCTGTTTATATTTCTAGGCGTATCTCTAGGATCAAGTGCCGCAATTCTGTTAATGTTAAACATTAAAAGAGCATTTCTTAGAAATTAAATTTTGTATTACTCCGATATAGTAAATTCTTTAAGAATTCAGTATCAACATGGGACACGGTCTGCTCTATATAATCTTTTCCCGGTAATTTCCGTTTTTCGAAATATCTGTCCAAAGATGATACAGTAACAGAATCAATGCTTAGAATTTAGCGCGTTTGAATTGTCTGATTAAAAGAAACATTTTGAATTTATTTGATTATAGTTTATCTGATACAAGTTTGCTTTTTCCCGAGGTGAAGACTTTTGTATCCCTCCTAAAATAGAATCGAAGTTTTTAGTGAATTTGAATTATTGTTTTCTCAATTAGTAAAACGCGTGCCGATCTCCGCTGAGAATCTTAAAGCCCGCTTGAATGATCTTGCATATAGCTTAGTAAATTCGCCTATCGATTCTAAGTCGATTCTTTGGTAGCAAAATCATTATTGGACGGCCAGAGTGTTAAAGCCTAGGACCGAAATTTATATAAGCAGACGTGATAAAGGATCTGGTGTGGGGATTCTGAATTATCCTGATAATGTAAATAAATAAAATGTCCATTATATTAGATGACACTAGTGAATTTCAGAAATTAGGTGACATTTCATTTGATGAAACCGCGTAAACGGAAGTTAAATTTCAGAAAAGATTACTTGAACTACACAAAAGAATGTTCCTCCCAAAACAGTTATATAACAGAATTCGAGCTGTCGGCTCGCAGCGTCCTAGGATGTATGATTTGCCAAAAGTTCATAAAGGGAATGTTCCACTCAAAACCATTTTGACTATGGTGGGCTCTATCGAACATGAGTTGGCCAACTGGTTATTTGAAGTTCTTGATCATGTTTTGCAGTTTTATTTTGTATTATTCTGGACTCATTCCAGTTTGTGTCTGACGTACGTAAATTGAAAAGTACTGCTAACACGAAGTTTCTCGTGTTATATATATATATATATATATATATATATATATATATATATATATATATATATTTTGTAGTCTCTTCCCTGATGTCCCTCTTGATGAGACTATTGCGCTGATTATTTGTATCGTGGCCACTTAAAGCATCCATCTTTTCCTGAGACTGACTTTGTCGAGCTGATGGCGATGGCTAATAAGTCTTTCAGTTTCGATAACAACATGTATCGACAAATTGATGGGCTAGCAATGGGTAGTCCTTTGAGACCTCTCATGGCCAATATTTTTGTAGGGTTCCATGGGAGGCAACTGTTTGATAAAGTCCCTAAACCATACTGCTATTTCTGTTATATTGATGACACTTTATATCTATTTCATCACATATTTCATATGAGGCAGACAGGTTTTTTCAACATCTAAATAGTCTCCACAACACTTTATGATGAAGGTGGAGAATAACAGTATGTTACCTTCCCTAGACGAGTTGGTTGATACTAGTCCCGATTCTTTTCTCGCCAGCGTATATTGGAAGCTCAATTTTACAGGGTTTGTATCTCAGCTGGGACTCTTCTGCTCCATACTCTAGGAAAATTAACCTTGTCAAACCACTTACTCATCTGGCATTGATGATATGTTCGGAGTGTAAACTTGATGCTGAAATCAGGGAAATTACCATTGTCTTTCACGCCAACGGTTATCCAGAAGGTGTCATCAAAACTAACATTAGACGTAAAATTTCTAAGTTTAATGAAATTAAAACATTTGGTCCACTTAAGTGTCCTATTTACGTGAGATTACCTTAGACTGGTTCTCACAGTCAATTATGCGCTTATTAGATCACCTCAACCGCCATGGCCTGCTTCAATTCTGTAGTTGTACGTAACATCTTTACTACTAGAAGTGCTTTCTCCTCCGTCTGTAAGGATGTTTTGCCCACCCATTAACAAAGTTTATTTATTTATTGTTTTAAATGTCAGTGTAAAGCTATGTGGGTAAGACTATCCAACGGCTAGAGGTGCGAATTGCGCAGCACGTGCCTGACCCATACTCCAATAACATCCGGGCACTCACAGGCGCATGATTGTGCCATCGGGGAGCATTTATTGAGTACTGTCAGTTGTAGGACAAAATATTCAGCGGAGTTCTTCTCTGTGCTGCATAGAGCTCCGACTAAGCCCCATATTGACGTCTTGGATGCGGTTGCTATCAATACGTCTCATCCGGCTCTGTGTAAGCAGAGGGGACTGAAACATAAACTGTCACCCTTAGGCGAGTTTTTTTGTTTTGTTCTGGGTCAACTTCATTTTTTTTCTCCTTTTCCCCTTGTCTCTCTTATATTTATTGCAAGGAGATTTGTTTCTTTTCAGTACTTTATTTTAATTCCGAGGATTTTTCTTTTAATGAAGCTTGGGACAAAAGCTAACTAAGGTCTATATTATTATCGAGACTATACTTTTGCATCCGACTTATGATTAATAAAATGTTCCCTATTTTAAAAATAATATATATTGACTCATACGTATATATATATATATATATATATATATATATATATATATATATATATATATATATATATATATTCAGGTTCTAGAGTCATTGTATATCAGATCCCGTGAGCCTTCCCTTTGTAAACAGAGAAAATGCTTGCTAGGTCTGAATATTATTGGACTCTAGTTACTTGAAATTCATAATTTTTTCCCCATTAGATTACATTCGTTAATTAAAAATTAATTTACACGTTTTTTTAAATTCCTAGAATAAATAAACTTGATAAGTCCTGGGACGAAACCGGTTGTTTTTATTTTAGCTTTTGCTTTTAAAAAATGCCTTATGAATATTGTCTTTTCCTATCTATTATTAAATTCTGTACCACGAAAAACTTATATATATATATATATATATATATATATATATATATATATATATATATATATATATATACTGTGTGGGTATTCAGGCAGTAAAAGTCTTTTAAGGAAAATGTTATTAAAGACAACAGACATTTTGTGTCGATTAATTTTATTGATCGACTTTTCCAAATTACGAATAATCCTTCTTAGATGAAAAGGAAATTCCATCAGCTGGGCATTAGATCACGAACCGGTAACGCTCTGAGGCGGGAATTCCTCCGCTAACGTTTTTTTTTTTTTTTTTTTCTAAGATCTGATACGATCTTTGGACTGAATGTTGAAGCGCTCCTAAATACCTACCGTTCACAGGCCATAATGAATTACTTTTGACGGCTTCCTTGATTTCGAAATAAAGGCAAAGATTCTATGTTGGTAACTATAGTTACTGAAGGTCATTTTGTTATTTGCAGCAGTTTGTTACAGACTTCTTATGCTTGTATCAACCCCTCGCATGTTTACTGGCTTGACAAGAGACTAAACTTCCGACTGATCTATTTCGACTAATCGATGGCCGCTTATCTAAAGAATTATGTCGCTGTCGAGTTGTAAGTGATTGCAGTCGCAGACGTCGTCTTGGGTCGGCTGCTAAACGATTTCTCCAATTTTGGTTTTGTCACGTTTTGTGGTCCTGACGGCCAATATAACCCTTTGCCCGCGTTCCTCATACACCACACTTCGGCTTAACTGGCTCGTCGGGCTGTGAAGCAAGGTTATTGGAGACGGTCTCGGATTGTGTCGGAACTGTCTCTTTCGTTGTGCACGTATCAGATATCTGGGAAAACGGTTCCTTTCTATTGTCTTCTACGCTGGTCAATCAAGATACCTGACTGCGGAGTGCTATTCTCCATTTGACCGATAACCCGACTTTTACTAGTAGACAAAAT